TAATTTTAATTTGGTATATTTTTTTTTTATATCTGACCCTTTAACTGCCCACAAGGGGGGGATTTAAAATGACAACTTTTTACAAAAAATTAACTTTTTCAACTTAACTTTTGAAAATGTTCTGGAAGGTCTGACACTTTTATATATATCTTAAATTAAAGCTAATGTAATATACTTTTGAAAAAAAAAAAATTTGACCTCTGGACTTGTCTTCACGGCAAAAATGGCTACCGAATGCTATTTTTGTGTGAAAATTTTCGATTTTATTTTTTACATTTTTAACTTTATAATGATATAATTTATTGAAAAGTGTATGGATCAACATAATTATTTTAGGAGAAATAATATTTATATCCCTTTTTTATTCGACATACTTTATCTTAATCAGGATATTAATAAAGAACTAGCAGATCATGTAGGTTTTGTNAGAACTAGCAGATCATGTAGCTTTTGTAATAATCCACCAATTTTTTAAAATTAAACACTATCTAAAGATTTGTATTGAAGCGTTTTTTATGATAGTGATTTTAATCACTGTCGGATATCATTATACTTGATCCAACTATGCCACGTCACCACCGTGCCGCGACCCCCCTGTGCTGGGTTTCTTTAACTTTATTATGCTATAACTTTTTGAAAAATGTATGGATCAGTAAAATTTTTTCATGAAGAGTAGTATTTATATACATTTTTCATTTGACATACTGTTTTTTTAAATCGGATCATTTCCCTATATACGAGGGGGGCTCAAATCCAAAAAATGCGCGTAGAAAGTAGAACATTTTTAACTTAACTTTTGAAAGTGTTCCGGAAAGTCTGACACTAATATATATATTAAATTAAAGCTAATGTAATATACTTAATTATGCAAAAAAAAATTTTCGGACTATATTTTATCTTCATGGTGAAAATAGACATCAAAGTTTATTAAAAAAATACGATTTTTGTAAAAAAATTATTTTTTATATTTTTAACTTTATAATGCTATAACTTTTTGAAAGATGTATGGATCAATATAATTCTTTTTTTTGATAGATGCATGATGTCTTTACCTATCAGTAGGTATATTTTTTTTATAAATCTGACTTTTTACCTGCCTACAGGGAGGGATTCAAAATTACAACTTTTTCACAAAAAATTGACTTTTTCAACTTAATTTTTTAAAGTGTTCCGGNCTTTTTACAAAAAATTGACTTTTTCAACTTAATTTTTTAAAGTGTTCCGGAAAGTTTGACACTTTTATATATATTAAATTAAAGATAATGTAATACACTTTACTATGGAAAAAAAAAATTTCGGACTTTATTTTGTCTTCAGGGTGAAAATGGCTACCGAATACTATTTTTGTTTGAAAATTCTCAATTTTATACATTTTATTTTAAAATGCTATAACTTATTAAAAAATGTATGGATCAATACCATTTTTATATGAAAAGTAGTATTTATATCCCTCTTTCATTCGACATACTTTATCTTAATCAAGATATAAAAACCCAGCACAGGGGGGGGTCGCGGCACGGTGGTGACGTGGCATAGTTGGATCAAGTATAATGATATCCGACAGTGATTAAAATCACTATCATAAAAAACGCTTCAATACAAATCTTTAGATAGTGTTTAATTTTAAAAAATTGGTGGATTATTACAAAAGCTACATGATCTGCTAGTTCTTTATTAATATCCTGATTAAGATAAAGTATGTCGAATAAAAAAGGGATATAAATATTATTTCTCCTAAATTAATTATGTTGATCCATACACTTTTCAATAAATTATATCATTATAAAATTAAAAATGTAAAAAATAAAATCGAAAATTTTCACACAAAAATAGCATTCGGTAGCTATTTTCACCGTGAAGATAAGATAAAGTCCGAAATTTTTTTTTTCCATAGTTAAGTGCATTACATTAGCTTTAATTTAAGATATATATAAAAGTGTCAGACTTTCCGGAACACTTTCAAAATTTAAGTTAAAAAAATTAATTTTTTGTGAAAAAGTTGTCATTTTAAATCCCTTCCTGTGGGCAGGTAAAGGGTCAAATTTTTTTAAAAAAGTTATAACAATTTTAAGTAAAAAAATTGAAAAAATTTCGAAAATTAGCGATTTTTAAATTTGTAATTTTTTTGGAGGTTTCCCCTATTTACGGGGAACGAGGGAATTTTTTTCAATTTTTGAGGGTAATGTCTTCGACTAGATACGATTTGTGATCTTTTGACGTATCATTGAAAGAAATCGATTCGGTGAGAGCTGAGAAAAAGTGGTAACAGTCACAAAAAAAAAACCACATCTTAGTAAAACCAATACCTTCTCAGATTCGCATCGAAGCTAATAAGGAAATAGCAGATATGTAGCTTTTTAATAACCCACCAATTTTTTAAAATTAAACACTATATAAAGATTTGCATCGAAGCGTTTTTTATGATAGTTATTTTAATCACTGTCAGATATTATTACACTTGACCTATTTATGCCACATCACCACTGTACCGGGTTTTTTTATATTGTATGAATCCATTTATGTACATGTTTTACGCGTAAGCTGGAAATTTATAAAAGTTAATATGGAAAAAATAGTGTCTTAATCTTACTCGTATAAAAAAAGCAACTGTGTTATGTTTGATTTTGACATGTGAGTGACTTTTTTAAAATTGAATTTAAAAAAGTATTCCTGCGAATGTTTTTTTTTTAATAGTTTAAAGTTTTAAAAACATATTGAAGAAATAATGTTATTTGGAGTATTCTTGTCAAATAATATTTTAAAAAAATGTGGAATATTATAGCTGAGCAAGAAAAGTTTTTAATGAATTATTTTTATTTATTTGTATATGTTAACCACAAGAATTTTATTTTGTTATTTGTTTTTGATCTCTAGTTTTAATACTATGGAGTAATTAGCTATTTGAATGAATCTTTAGTGTGAATTAATAGCTTTTAGGAGATTACTCACTTTAACTGTTTACTTTTTTTTAGAAATTTCATGTATTTTTATAGTATAAAATGATAAAACAACTGCTCAAGTATTTATATTTTACAAAAAGTAAATACATTTTAAGTATAGCTATATGACAGCTGCTTATAAAAAACTTAAATTTAATTTGAATTAAGAAAAGATGAAGAACAAATTCAAAAAGAAAGAACTAGTTATCGTTAAAAGTACCTTTAAAACAAATTATTTTTTACTCGACATATAAAAATATTTTAATCAATTGTACCTTAAAACTAATTTTTATTTTTAATCGAACACAATTTTATTAAGATTAATTTTTTATTTATATAAAATTTATGAAAATGTCTCATTTAAATTTGTTATAGAAATTATGAAGATTTATTTTATACTTATAATAAGCAATCCTTTTTTTTTGCTGACATATTTTTATTATTACTATCTATACTATTCTATTCTATTAAAAATTCCTCTTTTATGATATAAATTAGCCAATAATCAATATTTATTTTATTATTATTGAGTACTTAAAACTTAGATAACTTTTGATTTAAATTGATATCAATAAAACTAAACTAGTGTTAACAATCTAGTTTTCTTTAATTATAATTAAAAACCCCTTAAAAATGTAAAGAAATATTTTCTTTTTGTTTTGACCTTTTTAGATAAAACCTAACCGTTTGAAAGATTGCGCTCATAAATATTCCAACCATTGTATCATTTCAATTAACGTAATCTTTTCAAGTTAGGATCTCAAAACTGATGTACTTGTCAAGTACATCAATAATCGTATACTTGCCAAATTTTCCAACTATTAACAAATACAGTGTTTTTATGACTGATATACTTGACATCTCCTTTTCTAAACTCGTAAATTTTTGATTCCATACACACTTTTGTTCTTTTGACTCGTGTTAAATTTTTTGATAACCCACAGGAATCAAGTGACCATTTTTTTTTAATGTATATTATTTTATATCGCATTAAGAATTTTCTTATCTTTACTAAACAAAAATAATTGTTAAACAATTGTGTAACTGTTTTAGATTGATAAAACAAAATATAATATTTATAAATTTACTCAAGAAAAACTTTACTCAGCCCTATCATATTTTGTTTTTATTGGCGATATCCTTTGGGATTTCTTCAATCCTTAAAATTAATGTTATATAACTATTTTTGTAGAAGATATTATATTGTAGATAAGTTTTTCTGTGTAGTTTATGTGAGTCTTTTGGAGGAAATTTTAAAGAAGGGTCTATGAAAAAGTTTATTTTTTAATTTTTTTTTTATTGCAAAAGTTTGTAGAGTTATACATAAAACATGTGAGATTTTTTAGGTTTCACGTATTTAGTGTATCGGATTTTTTTTTAATTTAGAATGTCAGAGACTTTTACTGTAATCATTGTTTAGTCTTTTGTACATTTAAGTAGTAAAATATTTAATAACACAAACTTATAAAAAAATGGTAACAATTTCTGAATAAAAAGAAAAAATATAATTTTTTATTATAAATTAAAACAATATTTTAAAATTTTTTATGCCTAGAGAAAACTTGATGTGATTTATAATTATTTGACTTATAATTTTTTAAAGCAAGTTTTGTGATAGCTAAGATTTTGATCTAACAAACATTTATGTAAGAATTATCGTAAAATCAAAAAATGTTTAATAAAATAATTCAACTTTATATTAAAGCGAAAAAAATTATGTTCAATAACTTTAAAATCTATTTAAGCACTGAAAAATAAATTAAATAATGTAGTTAAGTATTTTTATTGAATTATATCAACTCAATTAATTTACTGCCAATCATATTGATAGTTTATTCAATCATCACTCAAAATGATCATTGGAAATCGCCGGAGAAATGACCTGGCGTTGTTAGTAAGTCTTAAGTGAGTGGACGTTTATTACCTGATAAATTTTAACCTTCAAAGTTAATCAATTTAATTATTTTCAAGCGCTTCATTATTTTTTGATACAGTTACTTCTAGATCTTTATTAGATACATGAAATTCAATGTAACTCAACTGATTTTGTTGTTTCACTTTACAATCCTATTATTAAGTCTTTCATTCGTGCGTTGAATAATTTTAAATTATATATAAATCTGTACTTAGTATTTTAATTGTTGCTTTATAGAACGCAAGTTTTAACCAATTTAGTTATCACGAAATAATCAGCAAATTTGATTGTGCTCACGATATAAAATCGTGACAACGTCCTTTCAACAGACCTAAAATTGTAAACACAGTAAGTAATTAATTACTACCAAAAAATCTTAGTCACTATTCCTTAGACAGCGTACAGAAGAACTAAATGTTCTTGTCTTACAAAACAATACTATTGGATTATCTAGAGAGATGATGTGTCACCAAGTCTATCAACTTCTAGTTTATTCATCTACAGTACATTTTAAGCAGTCCTTTAACAAAATGTCAAGTTGGCGGATGGACCATAATTTATATAAAAGTAGTGCCCAAACTCCAATTTTTTTATAATTATGTAGCATTTGATTACGGCAATAATTTAATTTTTTTTTGTACTTCGATTTATACCATTTGTTTTACTTTTTTTTCAGGTAGTGATTGTGTGTCTTTTGATGTCTACAAAAAAACTTTTTTTAATAACAAATAGTACTAGTAGCATTATAGTTATAATTGTTTTAATTGTCGAATACGGCGATTCTCTTTTGCTGTAAGTTTCAAATTATTGTAACCAAAGACGTAAAAATATAATACTATAACTTGATAATCAATATGGATAATAGTATCCAAGTTAATATATTTTTATCAAATACACTATAAAAAAACCTTAGAGTAAATAATATATTTGAATTGTACAATTAGTAATCCTACACTGTGTATAAAAACATTACATATTATTTTTTTAAAAAAAACCCAGCACAGGGGGATCGCGGCACAGTGGTGACGTGGCATAGTTGGATCAAGTATTATGATATCTGACAGTGATTAAAATCACTATAAAAAAAAACGCTTCGATGCAAATCTTTAGATAGTGTTTAATTTTAAAAAATTGGTGGATTATACCAAAAGCAACATGATCTGCTAGTTCGTTATTAATATCCCGATTCAGATAATATGTCGAATGAAAGAGGGATATAAATACTACTTTTCATATAAAAATGGTATTGATCCATACATTTTTTAAAAAGTTATAGCATTTTAAAGTAAAAAGTATAAAATTGAGAATTTTCAAACAAAAATAGTATTTGGTAGCCATTTTCACCCTGAAGACAAAATAAAGTCCGAAATTTCTTTTTTCCATGATAAAGTATATTACATTAGATTTACTTTAAGATATATATACCAAATGATAGGTAAAGACATCAAGCATCTATAAAAAAAAAAATTATATTGATTTGTTCATTTTTGAAAAAGTAAAGGCACTTTTAAGTAAAAAAAATTGAAAAAATTTTGAAAATTAGCGATTTTTAAATTTGTAATTTTTTTGGAGGTTTCCCCCATTTACGGGGAACGAGGGAATTTGTTTCAATTTTTGAGGGTAATGTCTTCGACTAGATACGATTTGTGATCTTTTGACGTATCATTGAAAGAAATCGATTCGGTGAGAAAAAGTGGTAACAGTCAAAAAAAAAAAAAAAAAAACACATCATAGTAAAACCAATACCTTCTCAGCTTCGCATCGAAGCTAAAAGATTACCTTTAGTTGAGAAGGGTCGTATTTCAAGCTCACTAGGGCATATAAATAATAGCTTCCGTTTAAGTGATTAAAAATTAAAATCCTAGGTATAGTCTGAAGATAATTGTAATATATTATAAAGGTAATTCTTAACTATTTTATCTTTAAAACGACAACTTGGGACAAATATTTTGAATAATATGAGTAATTTGAGATTTAAAATATACTTTAAAATTTTATGTAAATGTATTCATTAGATACCTACTATAGAATTGATTTTTTCAAATTTAAATTTAAATCTTTAGATTTTATGCTAACATTACAAAGAATTGATCATTCATGTACAGAGTTAATTTTACAATCTAAATAAATTGTAAATTTATAATGGTTTAAGCGAATAAAATATTTTTATTTTTTGACTTGTTTTATCAAATAACTATAATTAACATAAAGAAGCAGACTAAGCAGCTCGAGAAGAAATTAACAACCTAAACTACAGACCCTTCAATATATAACCAGTTTCACCGCTATGATTTGTAAGGTTCTGTAAAACAACTAACAACAAAATAAGGGAAATAAAAATTTTTGTAAACTGGTAGCTTTATATTATAGCGGATATTTATTATCATGAGCTTATATTATTACTATTAATTAAATATATTTTTTGAAGATATAGATACACTTTTTAGAGATTAATGTCATGCTATAATTATTAAAGTCTATGCCAATGATGAATTTTAAAAATTGTGGTCTCAAAAAAGTAAACTGAACATTTTAGAACAAATTTATATTATCAAAACACGAACTCGAAGTTCTATTAAATACATAATATGCTGTACAAAACATATTATTTGATTCATGGATTCTTAAAGCCAGAGACTAGAATCGAGTTGATAAAAACGGTAGCACAGTTAGGTCGCGGCATAAAGTGAGCGTAGCATAGTTGGGACAAGTATAGATGATATCTGACAGTGATTAATATAATTATTATAAGAAACGCTATGATTTAAATTTGTAGATAGTTTTTAATTTTAAGAGATTTGTGGATTATTCAAAAGCAAAATTAAATACTATTTCCTTTATTGATCCTAATTAGTAGTTCTATGATTTATAAGTATAATATATGACTAAATATTTATTAAAGGAACTAAAAATAGTATGAAATTGATATTTAATAATTTAGTATTGTTATAATTTTTATCGTTCGATAAAATTAGAAATTTAAGCAAATTCAAATTTTAGAATTACTTTTTTCAACCTAAAAAAAAAATAAAATTTGAAAAAGTTTAACTTTATATTTTATGTCAATTGGATTTATAAAATATTCATGAAAATCGGTGTATTTTTCTATTAAGGTATCTTTAAATAAATTAAATTACAGTACCAAGAATTTTAACACATAATAGCATACTTTCGAATATAATAACCATTTTCAGTATATCTGGAATTTTTTTTTTTCATAGTTAAGTATATAACATAAGTTTTAATTTAAGATTAAATAAAATACTACTCGAACATTTTCAAAAATCAAGTTGAAAAAGTTTAAAATGTGTGGAAAAATTGCTTTTTTGAATCGCCCCTGTGAGCATGTAAAGGGTCAGATTTTCAACAAATGTTTATCAAATGAAAGAAAAATATTTATGGTTTTTAATATAAAAAAGAACTGTTTTGATTCGTTCATTTTTCAATAAGTTAGGAATAATTTTAGAAGAAAAAAAAAATAAAAAAGAATTTCGAAATTTACCAATTTTAAAAATCGTAATTTTTTGGGTGATTTTCACCATTTACAAGGAACGAGGGAAATTTATTTAAATGTTGAGGCTAATGACTTCGATTACATATGATTTGTGATCTTTTGACGTATCGTTGAAAAAAATCGTTTCAGTGGTAGCTGAGAAAAAATAGTGATAGATACAACAAAATAAAAAAACACATCATAGTAAAATTAATACTAAATTTAAAAACAGTCACTTAAACAAATATGGAAATTTAGCTATCGTTCGCAGCAATTAAAGGGGATATTAAGAAAGAAGTCATAATAATTGTTGTATCTAATAGGACTTTTTGTTTTAAATGTAATCAAAAATAATTTTACTATAGTTAGAAAAAATCAATTAGATTAATTGCTCCACCATTAATTTAGCTCATGTGTTAATTTTTACAAAGATGATTAAATAACTTTTAAGTTTTAATTTATTTTTGGTCAATAATTTTGAGAGGGTTGTATTTCCTAGAAGTATAAATGATATAAAAATAAAATCTACACAACATGAGTGCTGCTGCTCGATTCTTTTAAGACACTGTATAAAATTTATAATTAATTATCAGTGTTTCCTGTCTTTAATTTGACAATAAATAATTAATACTGAATTTAATTATCTATTTGGCATTTTACTATTAATCTACTAAGGCTTGCTATACACTTATTTAGCTACTAATAAGCCCTATGGCTTTAAAAGTAAATGACCTTCGATTTCGAACTTATTATAGATCGTTTACATTTTAACTGATTTTTAAAATATCAATTTTTTCCCTTTGTCTATAAGGTGTTACAGTTAGACCTTCTAACATTTAAACACAATAGAATAAATAAAAAGTAATGAAAAGGTTTTTAATGACCTCAAACTGTTATTTTTTATTAATACTCTTAATCATGCGAGTTACTAGTATTAGAATGTAACATTGACATTGCTCAAACTAGGAGGGAGGAAGGATGGACTTAACCCACTCAGTTTTGCTTGAATTCCTCCCATCTAGTAATGTATAATGTAGTATCCAAAAATTCCCTAGTGGTAAGTGGTAAAACTTCATTATTATTAGAAAACTAAGTGTGATAATTCAGTTTGTATGAATTATAAATATGTAAGTGCTGACTTCAAGGACGTAGACATTTTGCCTTCACGGGTCATAATATTACAAAAAAATTAGTTCACCCTAAAATGTAATTATTGTTATGACTTTAAATATTAACATATTCAAAACCATGACGAAGATTTGTTTTAAACGGTAAAAAAAATATTGAATAGTTACTAAAGTATAGTATTCCTGACAAAATTGTTTAGAGAAAAAGTCAAATCATGTATATAAAATAATAAGGTTTTTTCATAAGACATATAATGTTATATTCAACCTAAATCGACATGAACTATAACTTTAAAAAGTTGCTTTTATTATCTTAATAGAGTTATTCTTTAATTCCCTAACTTTACTCAGTATTTCAGTTTTCAGATAATTTGGATATTGTGAATAATATAAATTTCTTTAAGATTACTCAATTTACAAATTAGTTTTTCATGACATAATGTTTTTGAAAAATCTGCTAGTCGTCGAACAACGAAGGTAGTCAAATGGGGCCAAAGTCCAGAGGAAACCGATTAAATTTAAAAATTATTTGTGCGCCAACTATTAAGTGATAATATAAAAATTTATTTTAGTTTTTTCTTATTTCATGATATATTATTCATTTGGTACAGTAAGTATTTTTACCATTATGTACAAATAGTTTTAAAATAATTTAATGACTCGTGAACAGCGTTATGATAGAATAACAGATAGATTTTGTTCGTGAATTTAAAAAATCAACAGGTGTATGGCGTGTATAAAAATAGAGTTTGAAAATGCTGTACATATAAAACCTTGTACTGTTACTAGCAAGGTTGTTTTATGATAAGACGTAAAAGAATTTCACTTTATAACCAGTGTTGTATTTAGGGGGTTGTTCGAAGGAGAAGGCAATAGCCTCCGAAAAATTCTTAATACGCGAATACCAATATTAGAAAGCGAAGCCTACAATACAAGGTTGTTAAAAAAATGTTTTTTAGCTTCGATGCGAAGCTGAGAAGGTATTGGTTTTACTATGATGTGTTTTTTTTTTTTTTTTGTGTCTGTTACCACTTTTTCTCAGCTCTCACCGAACGGATTTCTTTCAACGATACGTCAAAAGATCACAAATCGTATCTAGTCGAAGACATTACCCTTCAAAATTGAAAAAATTTCCCTCGTTCCCCGTAAATGGGGGAAACCTCCAAAAAAATTACAAATTTAAAAATCGCTAATTTTCGAAATTTTTTCAATTTTTTTTACTAAAAACTGCCGTAACTTTTTCAAAAATGAACATATCAATATAATTTTTTTTTATATAGATGCTTGATGTCTTTACCTATCATTTGGTATATTTTTTTTGTAAATCTGACACTTAACCTGCCCACAGGGGGGGATTTAAAATGACAACTTTTTCACAAAAAATTAACTTTTTCAACTTAACTTTTGAAAATGTTCCGGAAGGTCTGACACTTTTATATATATCTTAAATTAAAGCTAATGTAATATACTTTAATTTGAAAAAAAAAAATTTGACCTCTGGACTTGTCTTCGTGGTGAAAGTTGACATCAAAGTTAATAAAAAATTACGATTTTTGTAAAATAATTTTTTTTTATATTTTTAACTTAATAATGCTCTAACTTTTTCAAAAATGAACATATCAATATAATTTTTTTTTATATAGATGCTTGATGTCTTTACTTATCATTTGGTATATTTTTTTTGTAAATCTGACACTTAATCTGCCCACAGGGGGGGATTTAAAATGACAACTTTTTCACAAAAAATTAACTTTTTCAACTTAACTTTTGAAAATGTTCCGGAAGGTCTGACACTTTTATATATATCTTAAATTAAAGCTAATGTAATATACTTTAATTTGAAAAAAAAAAATTTGACCTCTGGACTTGTCTTCACGGCGAAAATGGCTACCGAATGCTATTTTCGTGTGAAAATTCTCGATTTTATTATTTATATTATATTTAACTTTATAATGCTATAACTTATTGAAAAGTTTATGGATCCACACAATTTTTTTATGAGAAATAATATTTTTTAATAAACCCTTTTTCATTTAACATACTTTATCTTTATCGAGATATTAATAAGGAACCAGCAGATCAAGTAGCTTTTGGAATAAAACACCAATTTTTTTTAAATTAAACACTATCTAAAGATTTGCATCGAAGCGTTTATTTTTGATAGTGATTTTAATCACTGTCAGATATCATTATACTTGATCCAACTATGCCACGTCACCACTGTGCCGCGACCCCCCTGTGCTGGGTTTTTTTTTTAAATCTGTTTAAAAAATTTCATAATACCAATGCAAATTTGACACGTTTGGTGTTTTATACAAGCAGCGTTTAAAACGTATCAACCCTGCTACAATATACAATTGGACAAATATTTTTAATTTTGTTTCTAATATTTATTATTTTTTTGTCAGTTAACAATTTTGATCATTGAAAATTTATGATGATCAAAAAATTATTGAAGATTTTTTTTTAATAATATTGTTTGAAGAGTGACCCTAAAAAAAATTAGGGTGTCAAAATTCATACAAACCACACGTTATACTCAATTGTACTCAATTAAGACTTTATAGTTTGTATAAAATAATTATTTAGTTATAAGAGTACTCATATAATTATATTATACAAAGGTATTTTAATAATGAGTATGTTTAAAATTAATAGATAGACTACTTGACATTCGTTTGCTCTCCGTTAATAAATCTAAAATGAATGAATCTTGTTTCTCGTTATTTTTATATCGATTTCTAATGAATAATATAACTCACTTAGTTGTCTTTATCGTATATTCAACAGAAAACGAAAAATAAACAATTGTTATTTGTTACATGGGTTGCAGATTTTTTGTAACTACGTTGAGTCAATTTTGAATATTTAAATGAGACAATGGAATCCCGGAGACGCGTTTTTTAATAAGTCTATTTTGTTTAAATAAATAAACAAATACTCTATTCGTATACTATTATTAATATGTTATAAGTAATGGTCCGGAATAGAAGAAACGATTATTTGAGATCAGTGTGCAATTTATTGTGGAATTTTGCTGTATCTATATACAGTGAATCAAGTAAATATTAAGACAAAGTATAAGAAAAACTATTTCCCTCTCCAATTGACATCGTCTTACAGACCTTTAAGTATGATTTAATCACTCGTTCAAATATTTTTCTATTGGTGTTAACCACACTTTTAAAGTATGTAAGACGATAGTAATTCCAGAATAAAATTGTATTTTTTTTACAACGTCTGAATATTTACTTAACTCGCTGTATATTAGAAATAGCCAAAATATATCAATATTATCAAATATCGATATTGTTTTTCTATCAATAATAAGATGTTTATCTATCACATATCTTTTTTTTTTTTAATTATGAAATATCACAGGATTATGTTGTATTTTTAAAATTTTTATCATTGTTGGGTTTACCACTTGGTAAAACACTAATTTATAGTCTTTTAACCCATTGAGTTATAATAATGACAAAATAAAAACAAATTAATTTTGGAAAAAAAAAAATTTTAGAAGAGACCTAAGTTTAATTTAATAACTTAGCATTCAAAATTAATGCAATTGTACCACAGAATAATGGACGCAATTTATACATAAAAAATTGTTTATTAATTATACATAATTTTATGTATAAAATAAAATGTATAAAAATATTTGTATATTTGATAATTTATGAAAATAAAAAATATCCCTGATATAACAATATATTGATATTTCTAGAATGGTAATCAAAATATATTAGATTATTTTGCCAATATATTATATATCGATAATATAAATATATATTTTTTACCATCTCTACTGTATGTACATTGGTCTGGATCGATAACTCATGTAGAATGTTTTGATTGGATAAAAGCCTTAGGCAATATACGAGTTTATTGAAGTTTCTAAACTAGTCTAGATTTCTTTTTTTTTTTATGAATAACACTACTATAAAAAAAATTATTAGTTAACTTTGTGTTTGTAATTGTGTTTTCGTTATATATTAAGTATTTGCGATTTATATGCAATGTATTCTACAGCTATAATGAAGTTGTATACATTGTCTCATCTAATTATCAAGTATTTTGATAAAAATAGCGTAATATTATATTTTTATGGTTTTATGTACATATGTAATTTGTTATTAACGTGTAATATACGATGCATATCATGTATCTGTACTGCCGTGTTAAGCAAAAACAGGGTAACTCCAAAATTATATAAATATAACCAAGTAGTAATAAATATAATATTTGAATTTCACACTTTATAATTTTATTTTATTTTTATAGTACTACATTGTTTGACAGGGCGACGTAAGAAAAATTATATCTGTTATAAATAATGTATTTTTAAATAATTATTTCTAAAATTTAAGTAAATATTGAAAGATAAATAAAACAATATACTGTCAGCCTTATTTATCTTCATACATCATTCATATTTCTATTTAAAATAAATATTTAAAACTTTACACTTCTCCAATCACGTCCTCGCCTATTGTCACTGATCTCCTCATTTAACTTACTTCGTGTCCTTCTTTGCCAAACTCGTACTTATATACTCTGTCTTACTTCTACTTATTCTTAAACCCTTTTTTTCAAGAGCTGATCTCCATACCCCTAGTCATTTATTAGTTTCCTCCCTATTTTCTCCTATTATCACTATATTGTCAGCAAATAACATGCACTACTCCTTGTATTTTTTTCATCTATCATTATAGAGAATAAGTAAGGGCTTAAAGCAGAACCTCAGTGTACTCTTACCCTGTTACTTCTGTTACTCTTCCTACGCTTTTTACCCTAGTAAAAGTGCCATCATACATATCTTTTATTATATTAATGTATCTTTTCGGGACTCCTTTTCTCATTAATGATTTTTAATTGCAATGCTTATAATTATCTTTTTTAAACATTAAGTTAATAAATTTCTAGAAAAAATAAATAATTCGAATTTATTGATAAAAGTTTTGGAATTTCAGTGTAGACTTTTAATTTTGTAAAATTTTACAGTACATTTAACAAGTTGACCTAATGGAATGATTCATGTTATAAAAAATATATTTAAAAAAAATTATTTTTAAAATTTAAGTAAATAAATTAAAAAAATGTACAGTTGGCCTTACTTTATCTTCATAAATCATTTATATTTCTACTTAAAATAAATAACTAAAGACAATTAAATAATGGCATTACACTATACATAGATCTCAGTACAAGTTTTGAGTAATAGTGTTCATTGGTTTCGATTTATAAAAGTTTATACTATTTATTTAAACTTTATATTATGTTAAAAATGAATTTTCTTAACTGTTATTTTGTATTAATCTTTATTTTAATACAATTACTAGAATCAAATTTTGTGTTAACCAAATTAGACGACAATCAAAAAACTGAAAATATTAATCAACTACTTGGGAATGTGAATGTATGGAATGAATTCCAGAATATAAAAGTTACATTTGTAATTGAAAGTAACACGACAACTTTTGAAGTTAATAACATCTTTGAAGTTTCAAGAGAATATGAAAGTAAGGTAGACTTAATTTTTAAATTCGTAAAATGTAAGTGTTGGGAATATATTAAGTTATGTAATCGGCTTTTGTCATACATGGCAAGTGATTATAAAACTATCTATGATAAAGAAATTAATACGAAAAACAGAATAATGACCTTAACAATAAAGAATTTGCTTCTGACAAAAATCCAGAACTATAAAGCATTAACAGATCGTCTTTTTAAGTATGCATGTCATTTTAAAAGTTTATTTCCTAACGGTAAAGATATTATAGATGAAAATGACCCATTTTTTTCAAAACTATCTACCATAATATATATGCCATTACCTGAAGATAATGATGATTTTGCAAGGAATTTGATTAAAACATTAAATAACTCATTTCATGATATTTATCATTATTCAAAAAATTTGTGTCATTTTACAAACTATATTCCTCGCCATGACTCATGTAAGAAACAATACAAAGTTTTTATTAATGATAATGAAAATTGTAATGATAACTTTGCAGAACATTTGAGTAAAAGCTTTGATAAATTTGTTAATAATGCTTTTGATTTGTTTGTACGGTTGACAATAAATCAAAAATTTGAATAATACATAAAATTGAATTATTAATATTTTTAAAACATATAGGAAACTTAAAAATGCCAAATCAAGTTTTTATAATAGTTGTTATTTTAAGAAAAATCGAGTGATTTATATTAATAAACTACCCCGTAAATTTAACACTTAAATTTTTATAAATATATTGTATTCTTGTATTTTTGAAAAATATAATTTTTTTATTATGATTAGTTACATAAAAAATTGTTTGGAAATATTTTTGATTGTGTATATTAATAAACTGATTTAATAAAAATTATACATTATTTGAGCCTATCGCTATATTATCATTTCAAAATGTATATGAATATATGTAATCTATTTATTATAATAAAGCATTTAAATTGTTAGCTCATTTTTAGATTTTTAAATATTGAAACTAAATATTTTGTTTAGTTTAAATGTGTTTCCTAATTATTATAATAGTGACTCTTATATCGATTTTATTTTTCCGATATAATTTCTTATGTTGTATATTATTTGACATAACATATAATAATTTATTAGTTACTTCATTTAGTAATTACTTATTACTTATTTTCCAATAAAATCGCAAATAGATAAATTATACGCTATTACTGCGACATTAACGTCATAAATTACTAGATGACTGATTGGGCATGACTAACAATTATACAAAATTACTAATGAAAACTGACAGTAGCTTACAAAACTTCAATATCGCCCATTTAAATCTTTATAATATACTAAATCAAGTTATTGACAATTAAAGAACATATTACTTATCAACTTTTTTATTTTTATTTCTATAGGTAAATTTAGTGNAGAACATATTACTTATCAACTTTTTTATTTTTGTTTCTATAGGTAAATTTAGTGGTTTTACATCGATTTTTGATGTAAAAATAGCATATATTCCTATTAAAACCCATCTAAAATTGAAATATAAAATAAGAAAATATACGGTAAGACAAAAACTTGGTATATCACATAAAAAATAATGGAGTTACTGTCTTTTGACTTATGTTCATACATTGGGAAAAAAGAGTATCTTGATTTACTGTTAAAAATGTTTTTTTGTGTTCCTGAAAAATCATGTTGACTGCAGTTATCCTGTTTTCGCTTAGCACGGCAGTGTAGTACTCGGCTTAAGTTTAAAATTAATAATTTTATAACCCTTTATGCCGAAAAAATATTTTTTTATGTATAACATGATGTATTTAACTTCATTTAAGCAATTTTTGTATTTATACCTTTTTACCCAAGCACTACAGTTATACAGGGTGTTCAGTAATTAAGGAAACAGATAATTTGTTATAAAAATGAAAACAATAGAAACCCGTTTCTTTACTTACTGAACATTTTATACAAACTTTTTATCTTGCGATGAATGTCATTTCTTGAAGTTATATAGAGTATTCAGTAAGTAAGGAAACGGGGTTTCTATTGTTCTTGTTGTTTGTAACAATTGACCTGTTTCTTTACTTACTGAATATTCTGTATATAAAGAAATTAGAGTTAGTAAAATGTTAAATTAGATTAGATGGTAATTACAAATCAAGTACAATTCCTCTAAAATAAGAGAGGGTATACAAGTTGAAAACACTTATTATTATATTATTAAATCGCTTATTCTTCCCCAAAATAGTTAGACTTTGTTAATTTCTACACTATTCTTTACATATGTACAAACACATTGTTAAACGTACTATGTAAAATAAAAATTAAATGATTTTATTGTTATACATATTTTTTTTACTTGAAAAACTAACTAGAAGAGATTTTTAGTGTTTTGCTTTTTTTCGTGTCCTTGAAAATACAACAAGTTGGCTTCTGTTATACTTTTCGGATTTAAAAAATAACTTAGAAATAAAGCATGGACAGCAATATTTAGTTATTATATTTAATGAATGGATAATAATATAGGGCGGTTTTGAGTTGTAATAGTGATTTAAATACTTCTAGCAGTTCATTATTTATGCTTATGACAAAGATATGCAAGTTAATAGAAATAATTAACTGAAATTAAGTTAATTTAAGTATGAACAATGTCGATAAATTAACAGTTAAAAATTACCAAATTATAAATTATATTATTTAAGTTAAAAGTTTATTCGAAAAAAAATTAACTAGTTAAGTTGAAAAGTTAAAACAATATTAACTTTTTTATCTTAACTTGAACTTTTTAACTTTTTAACATCATTGGTTTATGGTATGAATAATTTTTATAAAGCATTAGTTATAACGACGATTTATAATAAAAGCACTTATGTCTTGCGTCGGTTTAAAATACTCATAATATAAAATTTATAATTTAAATTTTAGTAAAACTTTATTATCTCTTAAACACTCATTCTTGTTTTACGTGAAACATTTGAAGGGTTTATTGGTACAAAAAAGTTACATTGTTGTCCTATTACATTTTCGTAAAAAACTTCAATTTTAATACTGTGGCGTAATTAGGGTTTTTTTCTGTAAAAATATACATAAATAATTTTTTAAATAAAATGAAATTTTATCTCCTTGTAATAATCTTTTTATGCGGGATATATTCTCTCATGGCTCTTAATTACAATCCTGTTTAAAACAGAGTTGTTATAAATAAAAGACAAAACTCAAACTTGATTGTATAGTATAAGTGTTAATGTAATTGTACAATTTTAAAAAGTTATTTATCATTATGATGAGTGTTAAACGTAGATCATCTAAACCATTTTTGTAACCACGGGATGTGTTAACACAGTTTTTGTGGGAATATTAAGTTTTTATGCCTACTATTTTTACAACGCGATGAATTGAAATAAATGAATAGAGAAATGACACATAGATGACTTTAGCGTGGCCGTCATTTTATAACTAAAAAAAAGTAATTGTCAGTTTAGAGAAATACGATTTTTATACGACTGCTGTTATACCACATGGTCTCTACAGACCGCCCGGCGGAAATAATTATATATAAATAAAAAAAAACGTAATGGGAGCGTAATAGTTTCTTTTAATTTTGTAGTCATTCAAAACAACAAATCGTAAAAATTATAATTTGAAATGTGTAACTCATTCAGTCACCGGATAAAACAAGTAAAATAGCCGGCTGAGAGAAATAAAATAGAATTTACGGATAGTTAAATGTTAATGAAGAAGTTTATTTCTGTGTTAAAAATATAACACTTCATGGTCGGTATCATTTTGCAACCTAATACGTTAATCATTGGTTGTGCATGGCGAGCGGGGGCAGTAACCGGTAACACTTATACATCTATTAGAGACCACGACAGCGACCACAAAGATTCGGTCCCCCCCCCGCTCGGCGGATTTGTTGTAATATTATTTTTATGAACACACAGACTTTGTTTTTTTTTTCTTCTCGTGCAAAAGTCACTGTCGTTGCCGTCGCGATTTTACCCGACCTTGACCCCACCCTTATTGTGCGCAGGCGCTACGACCGGACAAAAACATTCTCCTTCTCCTCCACCACTGGGTCTGTTTTTGTCGGCCGCCGTCTTGCCAATAGCCTTCGTCCACCCCGCTATGCCTCGTCATGACGCCGCAGTGTGCTGCTGTTGCGGAATTCACGGACGATTACCGAAGGCGCGCGCGCACAACCGCATAAAACAGTTCGCACGTTTCGTCGTTCGGTGTTTGTAGGTTATGTTATTGTTGGTCGTCCGTACGGGGTACGACGTATTATTATTATTGTTGTCATTTTGGTTTGACGGCTAACAATAGATGCATTTTTCGTGGTAAAATTGTTCATTGCCATAGAGATCGCCATTTGTCTACTCTCAGGAGATCTCAGTGTTGTAGGTCTAGTTTTTTTTTGTACCCATAGTGCGATAGGAGTGCATGTTTTTGCTGTCGTTCGCATATATCTCTGCTAGTGATTTTGTTCGCGTAGAACTTTTCGGATAGTTCATTTTGAGTATTTTTAGGCATTTTTATGTTTTGGACTACCAACCATCCATGAAGATGTGTCCGCCTCCTGTTGAGCTCGTTATACCCTAGGTGTGTTAATCATAGCCGACGGTCTAAGCCGATTTGTCTGATTAAGGTAAGTGTTTCTGACATAATATATTTCATCTTACTACCGTGGTGTATGCTTAATAACGTTTATACCCTTTGCCACCTGGAAAATATTTGAAACGTTAAGGTTACCATGACTACCAAACGAAGCTATATGATATTTACGTTATTTTTATTGCTTGAAAGTTATGTATAGGGCACGAAATTGTATGAATTTATCAATTTTGTTAAGTTATCGCGAACACCTCATCAGCCAGTACAAATTTTTATTTATCAACTTGAATAATTTAATAATTTTATATTACTGAGGTTGTAGTTATGGGAGGGGGGGATTATAAAGTTTATCCACTCCCAAAAAGGAAAAATATTTTTACGCTACTATAAAATCCTAAGACAAAGTTCGGATTATTCAAAATGACTCAAACAAAATTTAAGAAGTCATATAATTACATGCCCTAGTTATGATAATGCAAGTTTGCAATTCTTAATATTTTATTTAAGTACATTAAGAATTTGAATTTTTGAAATAAAGTAGGACTTGATTTTATTTCAGAGCCTTGAAGTTTTGCTATTAAAAAATATGAATTTTACTGTTGAAAATCAAATATGTATTTAGATATTCATAATTTTGATACTATTCAAAAATAATTTTGTGTTATTTCCGTTTTAGATTTTGATAACCTACCTTTGATTATTTGTTATTTTCTTATTAATATTTGATGAATTAATATACACTGTTTTTAAATTTGAAATATTAATCATAATATTAATGCTATAGCTATTCCATATTTCAATATATTTTATGGCGTTGAATATATTTATTTAATGTGAGAAAATCAATTTTTATGGTTCTCAAATTTGAAAAAATAGTACTTGAATTATTCATTTCTGTCAGTCATAGTATATTATTAAATATATATCATGACATAGAATAATTATTATCATTTTTGTGATAGCTTATATTTTCATGTTTAATTAATATTCATGTAAATATTTATTTGAAAAATATATTATTAGGTTGTGTAGAAAAATGTTAATATGTATATCATAACCATATATAAATAATTAAGTACTTATTCAGTATTTCATTTTTAAATATGTATCTTAAATAAAATGTATCTTTTTGATCAATCTTTAAGCTAATATCATCAAAATTACATAAATAACTCATTTATTAAACTGATCAAAAAATCTATTACTTTAAAGTTATAATAAAACTCATCTAATACTTTTATTATTTTAGTATATATTTATATGCTAAGTGAGTATTACAAACAATATAATGTTTATAGTTGCTGTATTGGTGTTAAATTTTTCTATATATGCATTCATAATCTTATAGTTTATATTTCATTTTGTTTCATAAAGCAAAATTTTTGTATTGTACTTATTTTATTAACAAAACAGTTTAGTTGTATTCCTGTATTTATTTCCTTTGTTTTACCTAAATAGAAAGTTTTTTCTTTAAAAAATAAAATATTCTTAAATTAATGAATACTTAGGTTATTGAACTATGGCTTTTTATTTATCACATAGATATTAAAATTCCCTAAAGTATACTTTTTTAGGTATTAATGTAAAATAATACATTTTTAGTATTTAATTCAGACTTAATGGAATAGCAAAGTGGTATTATTTCTTAATAATTCAGCAAATAATTCAATTGTGTTGTAAATTTATACAGTTTATGTTAGATGTAAGAATATTAAGAAATAATATGATAATAACTATACTAGAGAGTTTTTTGTTATTAAGTCCAGTAATGCTTTAAAATTTGTTGTGTTAACCATGTATAATTAATATCACATAAGATTACAAATATTAAAATTTTATTTTAATTGATTCTGAATTAAATAAAATCCTCTCAAGTATGAACTCTTGGTGGTAATGTAGTATAGAATTTGACTTAAACATTCATTAAAACATCATTACATTTTATAGTATTTATTAACTATTCTTTGAATTCTGTAATTCTATTACTATTTTTTAAAATAAAACAATTTAAATATTTAAAAATGAAATCAATAATTCGACTCAGTTAACATTTGATAAAACAGTTTATTTTCTATGGCTATAATTATACTAATGTTGAACTTATTATCTGATTTTATAATATCTTATGATTCTGTCATATCTAGTGATTTAAAGCTTATAAGTTTTAACTTCCTTGTATACAAGGAAGTTCATATTTTAACATTACACTAATATAATTGATCAGATTTGTACCATATGTTTTGTAAAGTTCGTTAGCTGGATTTTTAAGTGTATATTAAAGAAATGTTTTCTAATTTATTTACGTTTTACAATGCCTTGCTATTTTTTTACTTTTTACTTTTTTCTGATGAGATATATTTAATATCTTTATAATAAATACAAAATTATTTTTATAAAATTAAAGTGCGAGACAGTTCTTTGAAATAGTATTAAAAAAAAATTCAACTAAGTCGTCAAATATTTCTCTTTTTAGAGTAAAAAACAGCAGACAAATTATTAATAAAATGAACAGGAAATTTTTTGGTTTATTTGAAACAAAACGGCAATATTCTCTAGAGGGAAATTCTTCTTTACAACTGCTAAAAAAAACTTGTGATATCAGAATATTAAGAGATTGTTTTGTAATAAACAACTTAGCCGAGTTTATTGCATAATATGTTCTTTTTTATCAAAAAGCATTTTCAATTTATTCTTTAAGTACGTATTTGAATCAGTAGAGTACTTCATTTATGTGGTGTACTTAAATTATTCACGGTGCAAATTAATAACATAATATTGTTGACATTTTTATATTATTACTATAAAAAAAATATTTGAATTATTAATTAAAAAACATGAAAAATATCATAAAATGAAAGTAATTTTTAATAGCTGAGCATTGATTTCAATAGTTGTTGTCTTTCACTTATTAGTATTCTGCTCACTTCTCGTCTTTGTCCAAAAGTATGAGTTTCATCAATGTTTAATTGATTATTTTAAAAGTCTTTTTATAAATGTAACTTAAAAGCTTAACCATTATATCAAACTCTAAGTTTTGTTTGTAGTTCTATATTTAATATTAAATAAACCATACGAACCATAAGCTTTATATTGATTGAAACTTAGCCGTTCATTTTTAACTGTAATTAGTACAGTTAAATTTCAAGTTTTTCTTTTGTATAATTGTATTGTTATTAATTTAGATAACTCGTTGAAAGTGTACTTGTTATTATATTGAATTTATTCATTTTTAATTAAATTTTCATTAAACTTAAAAAGTTGCATAACTAGGTATGAAACATTTATTTACTCAGATTCGATATTAAAATAGGTTGTCCTTCTCATTTCACCTTCGTTTAAACTATCGGTATAGGTCGATGATCCAAACATGTGCTGCATCGAATATCTAACTGTTATTATCTGCTATACAAAAATAGCAATTTTATAGTTGTTATTAGTTTTGTGCATAACAGACGATTGAATGTAAAAAAATGTCGCCCACCTTAATAAATGTATCTATCGGCGGTCATAAACGAGGTTAAAAATTCTACGTATGTCCAATTTATCATTATTTAAAACAAATCATCATTATTGTTTTCAATAATTATTAATGGTACTTCGTTTTAGCTTTTGTTTGAATAACCCAAAATTCTTCTCTACATTGGGTGCCCATCAATTAACCCTATACGTTATGTGCGACTAGGTATTATTTCTATTTGCCATTATTAATTCGAATAATAACTTATCGAGGCCAAAAAAACTTGAGCATAACAATATAATAATAATGATGATTTATAGTTTTAATGGACATAGTATGATATACGTGCAAGTTAAAATTTTAATAAAAAATAAACCACGATGGCGTCTGTGGCTAGACATGGCTTGTGAGTTTATTAATAATAATATATTCAAAACATAGTCAGAAGTATTTAGATTTCAAGTTTGGTCTATGCGAGTCGGGTTACTAAAAGAAGAAAAGAAACTGTGTTATTTTAAACATTAACTGCCGTTAGAATATCGGACGTAACATGCAGAATAAAAAAATATATCATCAATACAATCACACAATGTTGCGTTGCTTGTAATTCTATCTCGGCCATTGTCAAAATGCTGGCGTGTACGTTTAACGATTACATACATGATTCATTGTAGAAGGTATTTGAGATTATTGTTTGTGGACCGGCTGAACAAAAAATATCTCTTCTCGTTCTTCAATAGTGTAGGTATTATTGTCTTTCTCTGTTGGAAGAACAATAACACTGTTATGTCAGTAACGGTTTTTCGTTGTACTGATTTTCTTTTTTGTAAAACTTTCATTAAAGTAGTTTATATTGGAGTTTCAAGACTTCAGGCGTGGAACTTGTTGACCATTGTATAACAAGTTTCATTTTAAGGGTGCTCGGGAAGTAAACTTCATTATTTTTGACAGTTTTATAGATAGTCACAATATTGTATACATATTATATTATTATAATGTTTATGATACATTAAATTTACATTGTATTTATTTTGATCAACGATTTTTCTTATTCATTTAAATCACAAAAGAATTTTTACGTCAATCTTATTATTTTTAATGCGATCAGTCGGCGGAATCCATTATAATTAAATGTTAACAAAACAACTTTTTTTAATATTTTCATTGATTTGTATAACTGATTTTCCTGTATTTTATTTAAGTTAAAAAAGAATCATTTTAAAAGTCTAAAATTTAGTTTCTTGAAAAATAATGAAGGTTTTATAATTGTATTGTAATAATATCTGTATAATAATTGCATCTCTAGAAACATTTAAAGAAATGATTTACGACGTTATGATTTATTGGCAATGTAACGTTCTTTAGAAGAAAATAATTGGTTTCTCTTAACTATGACACTTTGCAGAAATATTTGTGTTATTATTTTATTGACAATTCATATAGGAAGGATGTAATAAAAATTTTGGTTCTGGATGAATTAATATCGCTATCTTGTTTTTCTGCTGTGTCGGTAAGTTGTTTTAATTGGATATGATTATCTACACTACAATAAATTAATCGGTCCAGTGAAACTTAGTTATTATAATCGGTCAGCGGTCCCTTTGCGTTAAAAATACATATTTTACTCGAGTGATGGCTGTTAATGGCCAGGGTCATCTTATTTTTGGACGTGATTAAAAAAAAAAAATAACCTGAGGGATCCTATTGGTACAATAAGGCCATATATTTTTGAGGATATATATTTTCTATTTTAGTACGCATTTTCTTTAAATTTTCTGACGATCTCCGAATTATTTTTACAAAAAAATGTATAAATACCTACGGCTATAATTGATATACATTTTCTTATATTGTTAAACCAGATAAACTTTGAAGAAATCGTGATATCGTACTACTTGAGTACTTATTGGCTATAATGAATTATTATATAAAAACCATTATCCAGATAAAATTTTTATACTTAGCCTTTCGCATTGTCCAAATGTTTTGATATAGTAAACTTGACTACACGTGCAACACGTGTATTTTTCCCGTTAAACTAATTATAATATTTGAGTAATTTATCATTAGATTTTTCTGTCTTCGTCGTTTAAGACTGTTAACTTTTTAAAAGTAACACTAACTATCATCATTCGCTGTATTAACATTTGCCACTTATATTCTTTACACATTTCTAATTTTAATTTGAACGGATCTACCCAGTGCAGACAGAAAATAATCGTTTAACGATGTGGCGTGTCATTCGAAGAAAAAAAATAGTCTCGACTTATTTAATTTTTAACGATGCATCTTTTTTGTTTACACATATTTAAATTTGTTGTTTGAGAAACAGGACGAAAATTAATTGAGTAAGTTCTCTTAGGTTTAAATCAAATTCGTGTATTAATTATATATTCTATGGTAATTTTAACGGAATTAGCTTACTTTATCAGCTTTGTATTAGAATAACTTATGTATTTTATTAAAAAAATGTTTCGTGTTTACTGTTCTTAATGTTATTATATTTTACAGTGAGATCTGAATGTAATTCTTCTGTGTTTTAAATTTTAATTAATTCTCATGACCAAATTGTGTTAAACGAATATTTTACAATATTCTGCAGTAAATGGCGTATATACTGTTTTCATGGAATATCTATAATAAGAATTTAAATAATGTATTTTTGCTTCTGATGTATTATGTGACGTGCAGTAGCAGCATTTTTCGTCATCGGTCACAATGACATATAACTCACTTGACATGCAAATGTTTCAACAAGTAAAAATAGCTCAGCATATATATTAAACAAAAAAATAGTTCCCTATTCAATAAGTGTTTCGTTCAGTCAATATATAGTTTTTCAAAGGCTTTCCATTTGCAACGATATACGTATGACAGTGCGGTGTAATATGATGAGCTTTCCCGGAAGACGTATGTTTGTTAAGCATGAAAATACCTATATATTTTCTAGTAAAATGTTTTAGTCGAAAATGACAGCTTTAAGCACTATGTGGTAAAAGTGTTTATCTAAATGACGTGAGGGCATATGTTCTTTGTACGGTTTTCTGTGGTCTTATAAGGGCAACGTTTTTGTCCGTGTATTGACGTTCGATGTGTTTATTTTATTCTGAAGTACTTGCGCTGACGTGATTCTGGTGAATCGGTAATAATTACATTTAAAAAACAATAATTCAGCGTTGGTTGTTGACTTTAAAAAGATTACCGTGAAGTAACTAATTTAAGTATGCTCTCGTCTAATCAACTTATTTGTGTAAGTAACGTAAATTAGCGCTGAATAAATTTCAAGTAATTATCGTATTCTATTAGTGTTATGACGACCGCTTTTGTGCTTTATATTTTTCCCCGAAAGTAAATCTCCTTAGTATATTTAACCTAAGCAGTACACATTTATTTACGGATTTTAAACCTTCTTACAATTCGCTTTTCTCCGGCCTTACAGTTAATGCATTATGTGTGGCATAACTGTAATACACAAAAGCCATTAAGTCTTAAGTTTCTTTTGTTCCCATGTGAATATTGTATTACTATCAATTCTAAAGGGATAATAAGGTAAATATTTTCCTTTTTTGAGTTATTCATTTTTTATGAATCATGTGTCATGTGCGTATATTAAAATGATATTTCCGCTGTCTTGGCGTGGGGAGTAGTTGGTTGTCCATTTTGTTAGTTCGTTAATTAATAGTTCTTTACCAATTATTGATGAATATGCCAGTAGTTTCTTTAGCCAAAACAATGCGCCACTTTGACCACTGGTTGTTGTTTTTTGATTTTAATTTTATTATTATTTTATGATTATAAATTATCGATTTATTAATGTTGGACGCGTTTCCCGTGTATATGAAATTGGAATAAAACATACAAAAATATGAAAACATTTTTTCTATATAACAGCTGTTAAACCAGCTGCAGAAGGGTCATATTTATTACACACAAACATAAAGCTGTTTAATTATTCAACGGCTTCAAAAGTAAGCGTTATATTTTTAGTATTTTTTTTTTCGAAGGTCTTCTTTTATACGACTGTCATAATTCGGTTTTATTTGGTCAAGTTTTACAATGTAAGGTAATTTATTTTTCCTGTTCGGTTAAACTTGTAGTTTAACATTTACTTTGTGAGTATATTATAAAACGAATGCATAATTACATAAGCAGATACGCATAGTATTTATTCAGTTTAATTTTGTTTTTATGTTTCATGACAATTATATTATAAACATTTTTCAAAATACAATTTATTAAAAATTGTAAAGTTTTTTGAAAAAGCTAGAATTAAAAAAGTTGATAAGTAATATGTTCTTTAACTGTCAATAACTTTATTTAGTTTATTATAAAGATTTGAATGGGCGATATTGAAGTTTTGTAAGCTACTGTCAGTTTTCATTAGTAATTTTGTATAATTGTTAGTCATGCCCAATCAGTCATCTGGTAATTTATGACGTTAATGTCGCAGTTATAGCGTATAATTTATCTATTTGCGATTTTATTGGAAAATAAGTAATAAGTAATTACTAAATGAAGTAACTAATAAATTGTTATATGTTATGTCAAATAATATACAACATAAGAAATTATATCGGAAAAATAAAATCGATCTAAGAGTCACTATTATAATAATTAGGAAACACATTTAAACTAAACAAAATATTTAGTTTCAATATTTAAAAATCTAAAAATGAGCTAACAATTTAAATGCTTTATTTTATAAATAGATTACATATATTCATATACATTTTGAAATGATAATATAGCGATAGGCACAAATAATGTATAATTTTTATTAAATCAGTTAATTAATATACACAATCAAAAATATTTCCAAACAATTTTTTATGTAATTAATCATAATAAAAAAATTATATTTTTCAAAAATACAAGAATATAATATATTTATAAAAATTTAAGTGTTAAATTTACGGGGTAGTTTATTAATATAAATCACTCGAACTATTATAAAAACTTGATTTGGCATTTTTAAGTTTCCTATATGTTTTAAAAATATTAATAATTAATAATTCAATATTATGTATTATTCAAATTTTTGATTTATTGTCAACCGTGCAAACAAATCAGAAGCCTTATTAACCAATACATCAAAGTTTTTACTCAAATATTCTGCAAAGTTATGATAATATTCTTTATTAGCGTTGTATTCTTTTATATATGAGGCCCGTTGAGGAAGATTGTATGAATAATTACACAAATTTTTTGCACAATGATAATTACTCTTAAATGACCTATTTAATGTTTCAATTAAATTTTCTGCAAAATCATCACCTACAGGTAATGGCATATATATTATGGTAGATAGTTTCGAAAAAAATGAGTTATTATGATTTACATTATCTTTACCTTTAGGAAATAAACTTTTGAAATAACATGCATAAGTATAAAGAAGACTTGTTAATTTTTTATAATTTTTGATTCTTTTCAGAAGCAATTTCTTTATTGTTAAGGTCATTATTCTGTTTTGCGTATTAATTTCTTTATCATAGATAGTTTTATAATCACTTGCCATGTATGACAAAAGCCGATTACATAACTTAATATATTCCCAACACTTACATTTTACGAATTTAAAAATTAAGTCTACCTTATTTTGATATTTACTTGAATTATCATAGATGTTATTAACTTCAAAAGTTGTCCAGTTACTATCAATTACAAATTTAACTTGTATATTCTGGAATTCATTCCATACATTCACATTCCCAAATAGTTGATTAATATTTTCAGTTTTTTGATTGTCGTCTAATTTGGTTAACACAAAATTTGATTCTAGTAATTGTATTAAAATAAAGATTAATACAAAACAACAGTTAAGAAAATTCATTTTTAACATAATATAAAGTTTAAATAAATAGTATAAACTTTTATAAATCGAAACCAATGAACACTATCACTCAAAACTTGTACTGAGATCTATCTATAGTATAATGTCATTATTTAATTGTCTTTAGCTATTTATTTTAAGTAGGAATATAAATGATTTATGAAAATAATGTAAGGCCAACTGTACATTTTTTTAATTTATTTACTTAAATTTTAAAAATAATTTTTTTTAAATATGTTTTTTATAACATGAATCATTCCAATACGCCAACTTGTTAAATGTACTGTAAAATTTTACAAAAATAAAAGTCTACACTGAAATTCCAAAACTTTTATCAATAAATTCGAATTATTTATTTTTTCTAGAAATTTATTAACTCAAAGTTTAAAAAAGATAATTATAAGCATTGCAATTAAAAATCATTAATGAGAAAAGGAGTCCCGAAAAGATACATTAATATAATAAAAGATATGTATGATGGCACTTTTACTAGGGTAAAAAGCGTAGGAAGAGTAACAGAAGTAACAGGGTAAGAGTACACTGAGGTTCTGCTTTAAGCCCTTACTTATTCTCTATAATGATAGATGAAAAAAATACAAGGAGTAGTGCATGTTATTTGCTGACAATATAGTGATAATAGGAGAAAATAGGGAGGAAACTAATAAATGACTAGGGGTGTGGAGATCAGCTCTTGAAAAAAAGGGTTTAAGAATAAGTAGAAGTAAGACAGAGTATATAAGTACGAGTTTGTCAAAGAAGGAAATATATATATTTTTTTTTACATACAATTTTACTGAAAATTTGTTTAACCAGCTTATAGAATAATACATGATTTAATTATTACTTAATTTTATTTTATTGATATAATAATAATTATTTCATTTAGAGTATGTTTAATTTTTAACTACAATATTATGTTGACCTAATGCAATCAAGGTTATCAACACGTATCAAAATTCAAGTGATTAATCAGACTTGAAAAATGTTCTGTGGGCAACAAAGAGTAGTGTAGAGATAAAGACGTTATTCCTTTTACACGTTGGCGAAATTGTGTTGTATTGAAAACTGACTTGATTTTCTTTTAACTCGTAGATAATATCACATTACAAAATGAAAAAAAAATGATTTTCCATGTTTGAGATATAGTTAAACAAATCGAGTAATTAGTTTGATACAAGTTTTCCATGTGTCGACTTAAAAGTCGTTTTAGTTTTTCTCAACTTGGTAAATATTGACAAGAAACCGTACTAGATACGCGTTTGAATTTAATACTATATAAAATTTGTTCGGTTTTATAATATTGTGCTTTGAAACTAGTGGCCATTGATCAACCGACTAAATAATCACTGCTTGTACAATGTACACAACGGACCACAGTGAGCCGACATCCCTCTCTATATTTTTTATTCTCCATCTGTAGTCTCTGTAGTAATGCTACAAATCGAGTGGAATGCGTGTGCGTGTAATCCGTTAGTCGTGTCTGTAGTATTGCGGCTGCCAGTAATATCTTGAACCATTCAACATTGTTTACGTTACACCGTGTTGTTGTTAAACTTAATGCTAATTTGAACGTGAACACTGCCGCCGCCGTCATAACTAATATTGCAATATCGTTGAATTGTGCTCTACTGTATTCTCATTAATCCCGTTTAATTAATCCCGAACGCATTATAACTTACACACGCGTTTATTTGGCCTACGGCTGACTGGGCTTGGCGGTAGTCATAATAATCTTAGCGGAAGTTAAGACCTTGTGCATGTCGTCGGTATTGTCAAGATAGACGTAGTATCTTCGGGCGCGACTGAACATTTCCGATTAATCTTAAACGGATTTTAATTAAAACGACATGTGCGCCGGTGAGTTTAGATAAAAAATTGTATATTTTTTTTATACCTTAAACTTGCACTAATTGTACACTGTGTTCACTTCGGACGTCTTTTATTTTTGTTGAATTCTATTTTGTCGGTACACCGTCGGATTTAAAAGCGGCTAGGTTTTCTGATGAATACATTTTAAGTTCGCGCATAACTTTCCTCGGTCTATTCATTTATTCTAGAGTCACATGGTTTAGAAATTGATTATTCTTATCTTAAAACACGGCTGAAGTTTTATTAACAAGTTTTGTCGAGTAGGTTTATAGTAGTAATATTATCGCGTCTTGGGTTTTCGCATGACGCAATGGGAAATATGAAGATACCTCTGTATATATTTACCTTACGATTATTTATTATTCAGGTCGAAATGTAATCATACTTCCTCGGCTATAACGAGAGCGCGTTTTAATTATTCTATTGATTTTTAACGTGTTTCGATGTTTGAAGACCATTAAAGTCATTCTCGTCGTGTTTGGCTTTTAATAATGCAACACTATATACAGTCTTGTAAAAGCAAACGTGTGTTTGCTTTGATATTTATTTTGTATCAGGTTCGATTTCTTAGGGTGCCGCCGCCGTAGCTTTTGATATATTTTTCATTGTTCCGACGAGTTTATTTTTAAGTCAGGTTCGTCGTTATATTTGATATCTAAGTTTTTTGACGTTTATCGATGGTAATCGTATGTACTTATTAAAATTGATTGGCCCTTTAAATAAAGTCCATATTAGTTTTACATGCAAATATTGCGCACTAAATTTGTCTTTTTTTTTTTTTGTTCAAGTTTTCTATAAACTTTGTGGATGCACATAATATGTTTATATTTAGTATTTACGTTGTTTGTTCTGTATTTTTGTCGTTCGTTGTATATATTGGTTGAACTTTAGAGATAGGCATGCGTCGTAACAGCCGAGGTAAATGATAAACACCAGTTGATATGAACGCTGTAGGCTGAAAATACCTACGACTGTGTAGACACGCCGCGTCGTAGTGTCTGAACGTATTTGAGGTTATCGTTTCGATGCGGATAGTGTTATACAAATATTTGGGAATAGTTCACCGTGTGCGCTGTGGTGTCGCCTATTGAACAGACACCACGACACTTACTGTTTTAAAATAAATTCTAGTGGAATTTCGTTTGTTATGTTCTCATGTGTAACAATGGAGTCATTATTTTGTTTGCACTGTCCACTAAAAAATTGTTTAGTGTTACTGACGGTTGCTGCTGCTGAGCTGTGAAGTTACAGTCGGTTGGCGTTTTTTTCTTCTAAACAACCGAGAAACGATTCGTTTTATCACTGGAAATCTCTTATGAAGCAGTAAAAGATTATCCGATAAGAATTCCATGTTTCAAGCGTCTACGCTTTGTATAAAACCTTTATAAACATACGAATAATTTATTATCGCATAACGTATGACATATACAAGCTGCTGCCATGGTAAATATAGTTAGCTCGTGTGCAATGCGCAGTTGAAAAGTAACACATTTGTTTGAAGAAACCTAAGTATTTGTGACTATTAATTTAATACTTGAAGGTGCCCGATTGGTTAGGGCCCAGACATGACTATTCACTATTTAATTTAGAGACAACGTTTTATGTTTTTTAGTTCAACAAACTATGTAAAAATTGTAAATAAAAGTTGTAAAAATGTACTATTTTCTATTTCTAATGTATACTGATAATGGAATTTTATGTTGTCGTAGATAACGCCTAGTTAATAAAACTATGGTCTGAATTATCTTTTTGATGTTATTTGAAGACATTTTGTCTTAAGAAATGTAACCACAATGAAAGTCGACAACGTTTTTCAATCTTATTTGAATGAATAGAAAGTTAGTTGCATTATTTCAATCAAGTTCGCCTCTCGAGATTGTACTTTTTATTTTATCCAAACAAATTCGCTTTGTACAACACTTTCGTCTGTCAGTAAACATCGTTCGATGGCCATAACGAAAAGCAAATTTCAAGTGCATTATTAGTAACAACGTTTGGTGAACGTATTGTAACTCGGCCAATTTTTTCGGGTATTGAAGTATCTTAACAGCACAAGACACGACATTATTCTAGCAATAAAATGATATAATCTTGTTTGTGTTATTCATTTTACTCGCTGTCGCCTTTCATTAGTGACTGTCTCACTTGACCTGTTATATTTTTGTTTAATAATGTATATCTTATAAAATAATCACTATGTTTTCTATTTTATATGTTTTATAAATTAAGATTGTTTTGATTTTACCAGACTTGAGAATTATTTATTTAGTATTGCATATTTTGTGGGGTTTCATATATTTTTCATAAATATTATTTTTGGACATAAAATAAAATAAAGCATTAATAAATAATATATTTCTAGGAATAATTTATTTGGAACAGATCAATTATGAGTCAGGTAACTGTGTTTTTTGTAGCGTGGAAAACAAGGAATATCTACATCAAATGACCGCTACATAATAAATGATAATACGTTATAATAGTAATAAAATAAATATTTATCAAAAATTTGTTCAGTGTCGTGTAACGACCAAAACACAAGTTACCATTGAAGCGGGAATTTTTGGCTTGAATATTATGACCATATGGATAATAATGGTTCAATATCAGAGTTTAGTTTTTTATTACTCTACAGTGTATAGTTATATGTTTTACACGAGCACGATAAAGAAAAGAAAATACGTACTATACAATGTGCGTGAATTTCAATTATGGTCTATGATTTTCTTCTTGTTTAGTTATTATTGTATATTTTGAAAATATCAAAGTATTTTTTAACTTATCTATTATTATCTAAACTATTTCGTGTTTTAACATCTCATTATAGACAAATAGCACTTATAGTCTTATACTAAATAGACGACTTAGTATAAGACATCTGTCGTTGTCATTGAACTATCGTTGTATATAATACAAGTGCATATGTAAAGTCTTTTTTGTAGACTTTACAATAATTCCACGAGACTTAGAAAAATTCATTGTCCTATTCTGTTACCGAAAGTGAGTTTATTCGTTCGAATATCATCACGGCAAGTTACAAGTGGCATCAGTTGGTTTCAAATGAATTAGTATGTTTATTAGTATGTTTATTTGTTTTTTTTTTTTTTTTTAATATTGTCCTATGCGAACTTTTAATTTTCACTTATGAAAAATCATTCAAAGACTTGGTTAATACCATGAAATAAAAAGTATAAATTTGTTCAACGAAAGAAAAAATATACAAATTTGATCCTGTTTTGTTGAAAATATCAAAAGTAAATGATAACGAATTTCCCTCTGGATTTTTTTTAAATATAGAAATAACTAGTTCTTTTTATTATTTTTTTACCTGTTTAGTTAAATATTAAAAGAGAGTAGTAAGATATATATAAGCAATTCTGTTGTTTATGTTCAAATTAATTTTTAAAAATCCCCTTTTTTATGGAAAAAAAATCATATCTCATTAAATTTTCATCTTAATTTCTTGTTATCTAAAATTCATTTTACGATTTATATTTATATCCTTACTATTTAAATTTAATGCCCCTTGTAATTTATTTGAGGTTTCATTTGTTTATTCTGAACGGTTCTTAAAATTGATTGATGACTTTACTTTTTATGGAATATTTTTTCGTATAAAGAAAAATAGTATTATATAAAATAATCAAAATCAAAACAAATCCTTTTATAAATTTAACTTTTGTTTGTGTATAAACATATATGTACTATCATTTTTGAAAAGAGAGCTTTTATCTCGAATACTTATAAATAAATAAATGATATGGTGTAGGACGTGGATTTTATTTGCCATTTTCATGAGATTTTCTTTGTTAAAATATTATTCAAGTTTATTTACTGGTGATTTGTTTTTGTAAATAAAATTATTGTTTTATTAATATAAGAGAAAAATTTCTCAGATTATTTATTTCCTGGACGTATTTCCAATTCTCTTTAAACATAATTTTTTTAATTGTTGACTTAATAATCTTTTATTTTATTTTGTAACCTGTGACAGTTGGTCCGGCGATGGACTATTCTTCCGTCTTAGGGTATAAACGGCTAAAAAACTTTGTCTTTGGAGGATGTAGCGCAATGACCTTAAAAAGCATAAAATACAAAAGTAGTAATATATAAATAGTTTTATATGTGTATGATTGAGTTTTACTGGGTAATATAAATTGTTTGGTAATATTTCAAAATGTTCAAAGGTTATGTTTTCGTCGTTTAACATTCAAGTTTTAAATTTAATTATGGAAATTGTAAAATTATTAATTAAACCCAGAACTAAATAATTCAAGTACTAGATTCTTATACATTTGAAAAATGTTAATGGTGTTATCAGTACCAAACACATATTGCACAATATGATAACGTTTTTATAGAAGAACGTATTCGCTACTTTATTTGCGGTTTAGAATCCAATTAGTATTGTTATTGTAATCTTAATTAATATTGAGTATAACTTCAATTTGTTTAAATTATTTCCATCGCAGTAAGTGTTATGATAAAATAATGTCTTAACAGGTGGCTTATTAAAAAAATATTGTTGAAAGACAGTCTCTTTAATTATGCTTAGTGTAATTAAAATTTAATAACACCATTTCCTGTATAATCAATAACTCATCATACTCCTTAGATATAACACTATTTCTGATGGTGTGCTTATAATAAATTAAGTGCTACGTGATTGACTATTAATAGTACCGATGTTGCTTTTAGTGTTGATTATTAATTATAATCTACTTATTTGCACGGGACTCAATATATATAAATAAAATATCCATATTCTATATTAAACAAGGTAAGCATCTCCTTATTCCAGGAAGTGCCGAAAAAGATCTGCTTGTTACTTTAGATTTCATGCGGAACTGAAGAGTTATTAGTTATATATTTTTGTTTATACTCATCGAATTGTTTTATTTTTCACGGTGTTGTTATTTCGATCATGTTACTGAATACTCGTATATCTTTCGTTGTGTAAACTGTCACATTGTGTTTTATTTTTTATA